AAAAAAGATGAATAAAAAGAGCTTCGGTAAAAAAAAAAGAGAAAAGAAGTACGAGCTACCTGGGGTAAAAAGGAAAAAAAAAGGGGACACCCCAACTGGCGTAGCTCAGTTGGTACAAACCCTGATGGGCCAGCATCTGGCACTGGCCGAATCCGGTTGGGGATCACCAGCACCTTCATGCTCAGGTTCGACTATTAGCTTGTAAGCAGGAGGGCGGCCCCATGGCTCGGCCATGACATTGCGACCCTTAATGTGGAACAAAGGGTTGCTATTTTTTTCTTTGAGCTGTCACATTGTTTAGTAGCTGTGCTACTGGGCCGGACATCCAGGGTGTCCGACTGGACAACCGGCCCAACCAGCCCAACCTGGGGGGGCCCTGTCCAACACGATGTGGAAAATAAGGGGCGGCGGGGGCATGAGGGTGGGGAGTAGGTCATTGCGTGCCCAGGGGAAAAAGGGACGATTTTGTGGAGAGGCCAGCAGGGCCTCCAGAAAAAAAAAAAAAAAAAAAAAAGGAAGGTCCGATCTGGGCCGTCAGGTCTCTCAGATCTATGGCCCAGATCAGGCCTTGAGGACCGGAAAGATGGCTTGTATACATTTCATTATCAGGCTGCTTTGTGTTTGGGGGCAGGCAGTGGATATCTGTCAATGTACGGATGCGGCAGGTTTTGTGTTCGCAAGGGCAAAAGAAACATGTGTCCGCAAAGAAAGCTGCCGCCGAGTTCGAAAATGCAATTTTGGTAGAAAAGGATCCGTTGGGCCTTTTTTATTTTTTCCCGTCTGACACCACCCCCGTAGTAATGACACCCGGCCGGACACCACGGCTGTGGTACTTTCATTGCATTCTTGAACTCAGTGGCTGTTTTCTTTGCGGTCGCTTGTTTTTTTTCGTACATTCAAAACTCAAAGGTGACATCAACGTGGTTGCCCCCCCCACCAAAAAAAAAGAGGAAAGGCGGGACAATGACACATGACCATTCTAGGAAGGTACTCATCATAGCCCAAAGCTCCTCTGGGGACTTGCCCTCTGTATAACACTTGGAGATTGGGATATCTCTGGCATATTTCGTACTGGTCTATTCGAATGGCACCACACACAGGGGCGACACCCTCCTACTGTCTTCCCTGAATAGAATGTGCGGCCATATTCGCTGTATCTAGACTGAAAGTTATTGCAAATACAGATAAATGACTGTACATTTTATTCGGGGAAGATGATAGCCTATTCTCGGGGACGAGGGTTGACAGCCATTTTGGAATGGGATTGCTGCTGCTGCTGCTGTTGCTGACGATGACGATGACGATGACGATGATGATGACGATGACCATGATGATGACAACGAGGATTGCATGCTAATGATTCTCATGTTTGTTAAACTTTGTTTGCTTGCATGTTTGATTAACATCATGATTGATTGATTGATTGATTGATTGATTGATTGATTGATTGATTGATTGATTGATTGGCTAACTAGATCCAGCAACCACGTCTTGGCAGGCATTTGAGCGGGAGGTGGACTCTCTGACGAGGTCTCTGGCACAGGAGAGTCAGACAATTGAGGATTTGCATTGTGAAAGGAAAGAACTTATGAGTCAAATCCAAGCAGCCAAAAAGGTACAGTTAATATTTCAGAAAACTTTTCCATGTCCATGCTGGCCATCGAAAAATCAGCCATTCAAGTTTGGGGGGAGTGGTCTGCTCGCCTTAGACCATACCACCTTAGAGCAACAGGGTCTGGCAGTTCCATGGTGCAAATCATGTTTATCTGACTGTCTTTTTTTTTTTTTTTTTTTTTTTTTTGACACCTGAGCTGAAGCTAGGGGTGCTGAAAATAGCAGACACCACTAGCTCCGTCGGGGAGGCTGCATCTATTGGTGGGGAGCAGCACCTGCTGGAAATCGGGTCCAGCGTCCCATAACATTGAAATTGTAATTGCCTATGAAGTTATGAGGCTGCAGAGTCTTGCATCTAATTATTTTCTTTTCTTTTCTTTTCTTTTCTTTTCTTTTCTTTTCTTTTTTTTTATTTTTTTTATTTTTTTTATTTTTATAACAACGAGTCCCAATTTACTGTTCGATGTAAGAATCGCTTGAAGCACCAGTTGGGGGGGGGTGGGAGGGGGGGCTGCAGACTGTCGAGGGTCAGGTCGCCCCACAACTCGTTGGAAGTCACAGACTCATAACCTCGTTTCGCATCCTTTCTTTTTTTTTTTTTTTTTTTTACAAGAAGCATCACTATCGGACGTAGGGGAGGTGCTGGTAAGATCAGGCACCCCCTCTACGGCCGCTGTTTGCGGATGGCTCCATTCCATTGGTGGGGAGCTGCACCTGCTGGAAACCGGGTCCAGCGTCCTACAACATGTATAACAGGGAGCCAATGTTCACAGTGTTATCTCGCCTGGGTTATACGGAATCCTCTTTCGTACAGAGCGATGCGTGGATCCTCATGCAATCTATTTGTCACTGAGTCTTGCGTATCATGATGAGAGACCCTGGATCAGCAATGTAAAGATGCAACTAAACCATGCTTGACCATGACAGTGTGCTGATCCCTTCAGGGTTTCCCTATCCCGCAGAGCAATGCCAGAAGCCCTCATGCAATCTGTGGATGTCCATATATCCTAATCAGAATTCATGGACCAGCAATGCAAAGGTGTAGGTAGACCGTGCTTAAACCATGACGTGCGTAGATCCATTCTGGGCTCCCCTTTCCTGCCGTCTGTGGATGACCATGTTGCTCCAGAGCCCTGTGTATCACGACAGTTCGGGGAGCCAACATTCGACTAAAGTATCCTTCCTGTCAGCACACCCACAGTGGTCTACAAACTGTGTGTGGGTGTGGAGCCTCGAAACTTGTCTGTTTTGTAGACCGAGTCACCTCTTCCGTTCCCCCCTCCAGCAAGCTGATGATGCCTTGCCTTGTCGTTGGCGTCATCTGTAGATAGCACTTTGAGGTTACAACCACTCCATAGGGATGGGGGCACAGGGGCACAGGAGGAGCGACCAGCG